GGGTCCCTCTGGTTTGACAGACGGCACAGTTGGGGTGTGCTGACCTGGCACTTAGGTAAGTCACAGCATCTCACCTCGTTTTACCCTCCTGTTTTACAGATGCCTTTGTGAATAGCCAGGAATGGACGTTAAGTCGATCAGTCCCGGAGCTCAAAGTGGTGAGTGGTCCTTCGGCCTTGCTGGTTGTCATTCCTCACCTGCAGGAGGCGGGGGCTGGAAGAGGAGAGGTGTGACCTGTAAGCACACGAAGCCTGCATCCCCTGGGGCCCAGAGTTGGGGCTTGCTCTGGTGGGTCCTCAGGAGAGGGCCAGGTGGGCTGCGTTTGGGGCCGGAGCCCCGAGTGTGTCTGATGGCCACAACCAGCGCCAGCCAGAGTGGCCTTGTGTGCAGGGCTGAGTCTGTCCGTCCGTCAGTCATCCTTTCTCGTATCTGTGTGTGTGAGAGAGACAGAAAGAGTCTCTCTCTTTCTGTCTCTGTCACACACACACACAGCCATGGCTTTACTGGTCCTTTGCAGGACTTCCATGGAAAATTTCTGCAGTTAGCCGTCAAGCTTTGTAATTCGTCATTTTTAAAACATGTGACTGCTGACTGTGTCACAGAGGAGCAGCACCCAGTGAACAGAAGCTTTGTTTCTGTTATGAGCTTTAAATGCTCTTCAGTGAGACTGTTCAAAGCCCAAATATGGCTTAAATGAAAAACGACCTGGGCCGGTTGTGACACCCCTGAGCCCTCCCCGCTCCCAGTATAGAGGGAAGGATAAATGAAACTATTAAGTAATCGCGTTCTTTGTTATGAAATAAGTGGCATCGGAGGGAGGTGGTCGTCTGTATTTTAAACTTCTCAAGGGATGGACTCTGAGATGGAAGCTGGTAAGCCCTTCCTGCCTGGCGGCCAGCCGGCCGCTGGTGGCTCCGCCCTCCCCAGCCCCTCACCCTCAGTGTTTCCATCCCCTGCACGTGCCCTTCCTGCCGAGGTCCGCCGGTTTGTGGATCCAGCCCGTCTGCCTGGGGAACCCCAGAGGCCCCTGGACGCCGGGGCCCCAACCGCAGCAGTGCTTCATGGTCCAGGGAGGGACAGGCCCCTTCTGGCTTCTCAAACTGAGATGAAGAGATTGAGCAACAAGGAAGTTCTGGATTTTGAAGAGAATGTCTGTGACCTTTGTCGCCAAGAAAAACACGGCTTTCAGCTTAAGCAACAAGGGACAACTTGTGGGCAGGTCCTTGGACGTTGGGAGACGTGCCCCCCGCCTCCTGCCAGCGGCATCCCCTCTGCTGGGCCACCTCCGGGCTGCCCTCCCCTGTGCCTCCCACCGGCTCTGACCTTTTTCAGCAGCTCCTGCCAGCAGTTTCTTTCCTCTCGGGAGACAAAGCGTCCCACAGTCCTGGTGCCATCTCAGGAACGTGGGTTCCGCAAGGCCGGCCTCAGGACAGCGCCCCTCTGTCCTCTGTGCTCTGTCACCACCGTCCCCGGGACCCGGCCAGGAAGCTCTGGCAGCGGTCCCTGCAGAGCCGGCAGGGTGCTGCTCAGTTTCCTAGGAAGACATTCTAGTTTCAGATGCTCCTTCGCAAGGCAGCCAACGCTCAGGCCCAGCGAGCGGCATGAAACCAGGGGCACAGTGTTTCAGGGATGATGACACGTCCTCTGTGCGGGGCCTGCTTTGCGTGGAGTCGGCGGGCTTAATCCCCAGGGCCGCCCAGGAGCTGGGACTGTTGTCATCCCTGTCACGCGGGCAGGGGCCTGAGTCTCAGACGTGAAGAAGCCACGGGCAGTGAGAGGCGCAGCCGGGGTTTGAGCCTGGAGCTTGTGCTTCCGCGTCAGCACCACCGGCGGGACTTTCTGCAACGCGGAGACGTTCTCTGTCTTCGCTGTCCATGGTGACAGCCACGGACCCCCTGTAGCGAGTACAAATGACGAGCTGAATTTTAAATTTTAGTTTAAGCTTAATTTAGGTTAAAGTAGCCACATGAGGCCAGGGGTCACCCTTTCGACCATATTAGAGTCTGTGATCATTGAGTATCAGACCCTCTGGTCTAAACCCAGTTTAGGGAGTCGGGTGCTGAGGCCACACCAGCCCATCACTGAGGATGCTTCCGCCAACCCGTTTCCTGCTGGTATTTCAAGAGCACCTTTGAAATAAGAAACACGCCTTGGAGGCGTAGGGGTGGTTGCATTAACAGGCAGCATGGATTTACGATCCTACAGCCTAGCTGGCACGAATTCCCAGATTGGATGGACTTCGTCTAGGAGAAGTCGCTGTGCAGCGTCCTGCCTCCTGACCCGAGCGCTGGCCGAGACTCCGGCAGGCTGGCTGGCTCTGCTCTGGACCTTGCGCCCCCTGCCGGGCAGGGAGCGGGCAGCTCCGCCTCCTTGACCTCGTCAGCAGATCCCTTCTGTGCTGCAGGGTTCCCAGCATCTCCAGCAAGTGCGCCTTTGTCCAGGGCAGCCTCTGAGTCCGCGTGTCCACAGGGCCGCGATTGTTCCCTGCCCAAGTCCAGCGCCCGGGACGGACGGGTGGTCCCCTAGGTCAGCGCCTTCCGAGCCCCTGACAGTGTTTTCAGAAACGGAGCGATTAAATGACACAGTAACAAGCCTCAGATGGGCTCTTTATGTCACACTGGGCGATGAATCTTGTGGAATCTGTCGGAGAGAAACCGTCAGTGTCGGCTTGCTGTGCGAGAGC